AAAAAAAAAAAAAAAATGTGAGCGACGGTATTTCTGATCGGTCTGAAGGGGGATTACGAGGGATAATAACCGGTGTGCGATTATTATCGGGGCGAGGGAGGTTAATTGGTGGTTGGTCGTTATTATTTTATTTGTCGCGTGCAAAATCGTATTTTTACGGCTAAAGAAATGGAGCTTAAGTAATGACAGCGATTAAATTAGTGATCAAATGATAATATTTTCTCGAATATAATTATAATTATAATTTGTTGATAATTTTGGATATTTTGCACGTCATGTGCATTCCAAAATATAATCCCATATAGGGAATAATAGAGAATTTGTTGTATAATAAATTTGTTGCCAACAATTTCACGTCAAATCGATTTTCTAAATTAAATTTCAAGATAAATTTTAGAAAATAATATTTCTAATGTAAAATTTTATTTTCCTCTTATCAGTTTACTTTTACAGACACCAAATGTCTTTACAAAATGTAATTACAAATAAAGAAATAACTTCGATCGAATTTTAATTTAATCTGAATTTGAAATTCGAAATTCGAAATAAAAAATCGTGTATCGTCTATAGAATCTTCAAAGAGCAAAATCTCGCGAATTCATTAATTAGCAATGCGATCCGATCGGCGCGGTTGTTCCGCGCAAGCTGTTGCCGATCGTTGAAAAACGATCTCGAATCTTACTCTCCCCTTCTCTCCCTGCCGTGGTAAGTTTCTCGCGGGAGAAGCTGCCACGCGGTATGGATTTCGAATTCATGAAATTGTAATTTCTTATCGTTTCCCCCCTCCTGCGAAATATCATTATGTGCACGGAATTTCTGCAACTTGAAAAGAGATACAGGATGAGTGGAGAAATTAAAGAGAGGAGAATATCGATTTCGAGACGAAATTTCGAAGAAATTTGATGCACTTTCTGCAAAGAATATCGCGGTGAGTGAAACGTCTTATTTAAACTTTGTTATTTTACGAGAGAGAAATTTCTTCAAGGATTTGGAAATTTGAAAGAATACACGGATTAATGAGAGAATATTTTTCGATTTATAAGATGGATTTGAAATATTTTTAGAAATAATGGACGATTGTGGAAGATTTAATCTTGAAAAAATATCTATTTTAAATTTGTGATGCGGAAAAATTTTAATTTTACGAAACTTTGCGTAAAATTTAATATCTACTTTCCACATTGATATATTTTGAAAATTTAATTTTATCACAAAATATCACAATTTTATACTTGATATATTTCAACATACCTCGAAACTGTACTACGTGGAAATTTAACGAAACGTTAATATTTAGGATATTTTTCTTTTCTAACATTTTTCAATATTGCGAATATTTCCAAAGAAAAGTAAAAAAGAAGAAAAAAAGAGTTTCACACCCGTGAAAGTAAGTGAATGTTTTGAAACAGTGTACCGACCAAAAGTTAGGGATACGGAATCGCATTAGAATTAGTTAGCGCAGGGGACGGTATGCGCGCGTGACATCTGTATGCAACCGGTATTAATGCAGTTTCGCGTTAGAATTCACTTTCGATGTTACCGAAATTCATCGTTAAATAACGTTTCACGGTGCAAAGCATGCAAATCATCCCCGAGAGACATCATAGAGCGAGTTCGCTCGAAACCATCATGTATATTTCATGTAGTGATGCGCATAAACGGGCTCCCCCATCGTCCCTCCAACTATACAATATTTCCGATCGTTACGTTCTCTTTAGCGACCATTTTTTTCCCCCTCTTATTTAAATTCTTTCCTTTCCTTTTCTTTCCTTTTCCTTCTTTCCCCTCTCTCCCTCCTTATTTCAATTTCACTTCGCATAATAAGACTCGGAGGAATTTGTGAGAGGAGAAAAAAGAAAAGAAGAAAAACGAATTTATTTATTTACACTTTTCACAAATTGTAACAAAATCTAAACCAAGACGGATATAAATATTTTTCAAATCAAGAGTAAAATACAGGAAATAAAATAAAGGAGGAAATTAAAGGAATCGATCCGTTGTGTCGAAGAGGAGGAATTTGAAAGGTGTTTAAAAAAAAAAAGAAATGACGTTTAATTCCAATCCAAGTTTGACGCGTAACGAAACCACATGGCGGATTCTCATGGGCACGCGCGCGTGTGCGCGGCAACGATCGATTATAATGCACGCGGCTCGTGATAACCGAGGTCCGTTAATCGGCAAACAAGCAGGAAGCTGCATCAGGAGCCGCATCAACGTCAATATTTATTCGATAGATTTTCATTTAGTATGCCGACAGATACGCGCGATGCTAGTTCATCGAGCAAACGCAGGGGGGCTTTGTGGGATGCCACCTCCTCCCCTCTCGCCCCCTGCGGCTTGATCAAGCCATCCAACCTTGCGTTAATTTCGTAGGAACCGCGTATTCGATTACCGATTCGTTTCGTTGTTTCCCCTTCGTTTATTTCTTCCCTTTCTTACGTTCTTTTTCTTTTTAAGTATGATATTTATTCAAATCCTTTAGAGATTCCTTTTGTTTATAATATTTATTTTTTCTAATTTTTAATCGATTAATAATTCGATTAGATGGGATTTCCAAGATGGTACTTCTGTGACGCGATTATTCTTTCTTCTAACGTGTTTCAAGTACTCTTCGAGATAATTATTCTTCCATAAGTGAGATTGAATTATATCCTATATATGAAATTCCAAAGGGAATTATGCATTCGATCATATGTATTTTTTTTCGGATATTTTTGTAACGCTAGAAAAGTTTTCGTATTTATCGTAAAGTTTGCTCGGTGCCCGCCACGATATTTATCGAAAAACTGGGGACCAAGGTTTCACGTTGATACAGAATCACGATACTCGATGGGAAG